AAAAACTCATTAATGTTTCTCTCTCTACTCAAGAGGGGAGAAAACGAAAACAAAAAATGAAAAACGACTAAAATTCGTTTTTTATTTCTCTCTCATCACTAAACTAAAAAATCATTTTCATTTCTATTTTTTATCTTTATTATGCCAAACGTCATTTTAAAAACGTTTTTTTTATTTCTCAAAAAATATGAAAAATAAAAATGGGATCAATTCTAAACACGACCTACAATTCAAAGATATTCACAATAACTAGAGTTAATGTAACAACTGAAAGAATAATAAAATTTAATTATGTTAATTGTAATTTATTAATGTATCTAATATTAATTTTTTAATTAATCATGTCATTAAAAATTTTAGGGGTTGTTCTTTTGAAGTGTAACTTGAGTGTAGTTTTTGAGTTGAATTTGTTATAACTTGAGTTGAAGTTGTAACTTGAATAAAGTTGAGTAAAGTTGAATAAAGTTAAACTTAAAAGAACGTGAACTTAAATAAAATTAAAATTCGAGTTATCTTTTTTTAAATTTTTTAGACAAAAAAACATGCCATTAATTATTTTCAATTTTAAATCATTTTTTCTCTCTAAATACCTTCTCATACTTTTTTTTTTTCTTTTTTTTTTCTTTTTCTTTTCATCTTTTTTCTTTTTCTCTCTCTCCTCCCCTTTTCTTTTCTCTCCTCCCGCAGGTCCACTCTCCCTGCTCTCTTTCTCTTTCTTTCTTTTTCTTCTCTCTCTCCTATGATTTCTAACGCCGGCCTCCCCTCTCTCTTTCCCCTTCACCGGCGCCACCCACCCACTCTCTCTCCCTCTCTCACCAGCGTCCTTCTCTCTCTCCCTTGCTCTCTCTCTCTCTGGTTTGTTCCTGACGAAGCTGGAAAGAAAAAAGAAACAGAGGAAGCAAGACTCCTCAATCAATTTGAAGTAAGATTTCTTTAAAAACCCACTCTTACATTTAAATTTCTAACTTGAAAAAGTGTGATTTTAGTTAGATTTGATGAATTTTAATTAGGGTTTAGATTTGAATAAATTGTAGTTGAACTTAGGTTACATTTAGGGGTTTTCAGTTTTTGAACTTGTTTGAAGTGTTTGGAAACTAATTTCAGCGATTTCCTGAGAATTTGTTTTGGAACTGAACTCAAAATGTAGATTTTTGATATTTTTCTTATTGATTGTCAAACTGTCGGGGTATTGCAGAAATGCTTTAAAAACTTGTTTTAAAACCAAATTTCAATGGGAAACCAAACTAACGGATTTAGTTCTAATTTTCAAAGAACTCCAAGTTGAATTATGAAGTTGTTTGCAAACTTTGGATTTGAGTCAATGTACACTAATAAGAAATAAGTGTACATGATTGAACATAGATTTGTTTTAAAGGTGAGAAATAAATTCTAAAATATTGTTTTAATGACGAAGCTAGCAGTATGATCGGACGTGGAGCTTCAAGAATAAACGGTTAGACAACGTGAAGTTATCCGTAAATTAAATTGTCAAGAGGTAGGATGTTTTTATCCACATCCATATTAGCATGTTTTAAATATATTGGCCTATGAAAACGTTGTAAAGATAAAAATGCATTTGAAATTATTAAAACTTAAAGAATAGTTTTATATGGTATTTTCTTAAAAAGATTTAAGAAATGGTAACAACGCTGATGGCCTAGAAATCGGGATATGGAGATCGTATCTTTAGGGGCATGACCCAAAATCCGAACGGGCCACTACGGTGGTGCTTGACCATGCAATTGTTGTAAGTAATTTATCATTAAATTACTTGCTGGTGCTTGAAACCGGTAATTTAAGTTTATTTTCCTTTCAGAAAAAGGATGTTTGGTTTCGGATGACATGTTCGGACCCTGATCTTCTATTTATTTATTCAGTTTTATAAAATTATATATTATTGTGCATTTCGCTCACTTTTCTTATGTTTTAAATGTATTTAAACATCTCCAGAGTTAGCGGTTTAGATTTACAGCATGTCGAGTGGATGTCAATGGATTGAAGGCGCGAGATTCGAAGTGGTTAGTTTGTTTCGAATTTACAGTTTTTAATTCTGAGATATACTGTATTTTTGTATATAAACTGTATTGGTTGACATTCTTTTTAGAGTTGTACTATTTTTCTTAGATTTTACAGACTGTTTTAAATATTGTTTGTTAAAAAAAGACTCCGGAGCAATATATTTTAATATTCATTTTGTGAATATGTATTTTTTTGGATTTTGTTGATTAATCTCATTTAATTAAACTTAATTTTTCCACTAATCACGGTCCCATCTTTAAAGTCCTGACAGTTAAATATTTACCATATTCTTGGATTATGATAAAGTACGCATTAGAAAGTTCATTCAAGTAGCACAGTTTGGTTACAAATTATCAGAAAAACACTTTTTTCTATGGTGACATCACCATGACTGGAAATGAAAAACACGAGATACTTTTTTCCGAATCTTAACTGATTTATTATATGTGAAGGAGAAAATAAAGAGTGGTATAATAACTTCCATATGCTTATTATAATCCTTTTGGCCAGAGCTTATGATTGAAGCAAAAATTTGCAAAATCACCTATTCATGAGGGAGTGAGCCATGTGGAATTCGGTGATAAGTTTGAGAAATATGGTCAACAACTAAAGCGTAAAAAGCGGTCTCAAGCCTTGCTATAACTATTTCTAGAGTGGCCAAAGAAGGTTTGATTCACAAGGTCAGAACATCCTATTTTTGACCCATTCAGGTATCCTTATGAAAAGGACCAACAAGCCTTTTGGAGATGGTTCAATGGTGATGCGAAAGGCAAGTTGACCATCCGATGCGGGCTCGCTCTGCAAAATTGACATTTTTTTGAGATTATGTTGCGCAATAGTGCTTATATATAGTGAGGTAAGCTATTACTCTTTTTTTAATTATCAAATATATATCTTCTTTATAAATTATTAATTATATTTGTTGATTTACTTATCAATTGAATTAATTTGTATTTTTACAGCACGTGGATGAGATTTTATATTTGTTCAGGAAACGGATTGATAAGTTTCCTGACATATTTCCTAAAGATATCTGCATTCTCAGTGATTGTTTTTCCTAGGCATTGTGTGCATTATACAAGGATACTGTCAATCTAAAGACTAAAACTTTAAAATTACTGCTCAGATGAAAGACTATTATAAAGGGACTAGGCCAAGTAGGAGAAGAGATTGGGAGGGAGTTAGTCATTTCTACGTATCGTGGAACTGTTTAAACTGCCATTGGATATTACTTGATGTTGCTGTTTCATCTTGGATCGTAACAGTCTATGACTCGGTTCCTACGTATCGTTCACTTAAGGATATGGACGATTCTGTGAAACCATTTCTTAAGTATTTCCCCTTTTTGCTTAAGAAGTCTGAGAAATTCTCAAGCTACAAGGATAATTTCAAGTGTTGACGATCTTAGCGCAACCAGAAAAAAATACAGTCCCTATTAACAAAAAGACGTAAGCTGTATTTACATTTTAGTTTTTTAATAAAAACTAATCTCTTGTTACCTTTAAGCTTATGTGTAAATTTGTTTAACATGGGTGACTGTGGAGTTTACATGTTAAAGACATTAGAGATGCTCATGGCTGAAAAGTGCAATGAAGAAGCGCAAAAGTACCTTAACGACAAAATGATATTAGATGTTAGAAAGTTTTACGCGGTTAAGCTCAATGCTAGTAATGCAGATCCATAGTTGATGATTAATATTATGTCTAACATCTAATATCTTTTTGTCATTAAGGTATTTTTGCGCTTCTTCATTGTACTTTTCGGCCATGAGCATTTCTAATGTCTTTAACATGTAAACTCCACAGTCACCCGTGTTAAATAAATTTACACAAAAACTTAGAGGTAACAAGAGGTTAGTTTTTATTTAAAAACTAAAATGTAAATACAGCTTACATCTTTCTGTTAATAGGGACTGTATTTTCTTCTGGTTGCGCTAAGATCATCGAACACTTGAAATTATCCTTATAGCTTGAGAATTTTTCAGATTTTTTAAGCAAAAATGAGAAATACTTAAGAAATAGTTTCACAGAATCGTCTATATCCTTGAGTGAAAGGCACGTAGAAACCGAGTCATAGACTGTTACGATCCAAGATGAAACAGCAACATCAAGTAATATCCAATTGTGGTTTAAACAGTTCCATGGTACGTAGAAACGACTAACTCCCTCCCAATTTCTTCCTACTTGGCCTAATTCTTTTATAAAATAGTCTTTTATATGGGCAGTAATTTTAAAGTTTTTAATCTTTGAATTGACAGTATCCCTGTATAATGCACACAATGTCTGGGAAAAACAATAATTGAGAATGCATATATCTTTGGGAAAGATGTCAGGAAACTTATCGATCCGTTTACTAAACAAATATAAAATCTCATCCACATGCTATAAAAATACAAATTAATTTAATTGGTAAGTAAATCAACAAATATAATTTATAAAGAAAATATATATTAATTATTAAAAAAGAGTAGTAACTTACCTCACTATTTATATAAGCACCATTGCGCAACATAATCTCAAAAAAGTGTCGATTTTGCAGAGCGAGCCCGCATCGAATGATCAGCCTGCCTTTTGTATCACCATTGAACCATCTCCAAAAGGTTTGCTGGTCCTTTTCATAAGGATGTCTGAATGGGTCAAAAGTAGGATGTTCTGACCTTGTGAATCGAACCCTCTTTGACCACTCTAGAAATGATGATAGCAAGACTTGAGACCGCTTTTTACGCTCCAGTTGTTGACCATATTTCTCAAACTCATTACCAAATTCCACATAGCTCACTCCCTGATGAATAGGTGGAGTCATATAAGAATGGTCATCTCCACTATCTTTGAATAGTATATTAGCAAAAACCGATCGAGGCACATGAGTAATCTCAGATTATTGAAATTGTAACTAAGAAGAGATTATTGAAATTGTAACTAAGAAGATTGAAGTTGTACCACTTTTATGTAATTTATTCATCACTGTACGCTTTCGATATTTCAAGTATCAATAAGAACATGGATATTTGATTGCGGTTTATCTTTTGTCACCCTTAAACTCATAGTGGCTGAGGAATTGGTTAAAGGGTGCTTCACTGTTACACCATAATCTCCATGAAAAAGGGACAAATCTATGAATCCTTTATTGTCTGTTCTGGTCTCCAGAGTCCCAGAATTCCATTCTTGAATCAGCTCGTCTACAACATATCCGGCCGGAGTATTTTCAAAGTTAATATCCGCGAGAGTTGTGACATTGAAACCTGCTAGTTCTGGACCTGCAAACATGATTATGCCTTGCACCGCAGGGTGTGAATAGCCCTCTCTAAGTATCTCTTCCAAGTACTGAGCCTGCACAGAAACAAGTTTCAGCCTTGTGGCATAACCGGTTCTAACTCTCGTACGAATTTTTTTGGTACATGAACTGACATAGCAAGGGAATTGATCATCCTCAATTGGTAAGTACAACTTTTTATTACTAATTGATGCGATAACTTCTTAAAGACCTACCTATATAAATGATGACACTTCATTTACCTTGTCACTTGGTATTTAAAAATGAGTACACGAGTTCAGCTTGTGAAGCCTCTTAGACATATAGCAAAATCTCATTGAAGTTGAAATATAGCAAGATTTCAGAGTATTTTAAGAACAAAACTAATATAATCAAAATAATTACTAAGTAATTATATAGTATAAAATGTGACATCATTAAAATATTCTGAAAATTTTGCTTAAATTTCAATTCCACCATAGCAGTTTTGTTGTTTTGTGTAATTTTTACTTATTCTGAGTAGTATATTATTGTTTCAAATAAAACTATCCTGCTGAGAGACTGACATTTCCAGGGAATGACAAGATCTCCACAAGTTTCTTGTGGTAGTTAAGTGGGCTTGAGGCCTCGTCATCGCTATATTCTATGGTGTTATACTCATTCAAGAACATGGTTGTGTTTGGATCAAGCTGTTGAGCTATATGATAGAACTCTGCAGAAGCATTTTGACTGAGCTTATCCTCAAAGAAGCTGAAATGAAGATTCTCATTCACAACATCCCAACCAATTAGCTTTCCACTGTATCTAGAAACTACCGAACTGATTCTCTTTGCTGCTGCGCTTCGCAGTTCATCAGTGGAAAGGGATTTGACCCAGGAAGGCTGGTACTTTGGATTGTCCCAGAACACGTTGTGGCCTCTAACGCGAATGCCATTGCTTTGGGCAAATTCCATCATGGCATCTGCGATGGTGTAGTTTTCTTCGCCCTGCCCTTTCTCAGTGCTGTACCACTTCATCTCATTGGTGAAAGTGGTAGCTTTGAATCTTGATGAGAACCAGTTTTGATAGTCAGTACTTTGGAGGATATGGTAGTTCATACCGCATCCAAAAGGGAAGTCTGACTTGGTTTGCTTGATAGACACTTGAGCATCTTCTAATGGAGTTTTATCCGCACTGGTTACTTGGAATCGGATATTACTCTTGCGAATCTGCGGTGATGATTAGATTCAGAGTTCAGTGTATGAAACCTTTTCTTTTAGGCCTTGTTTGGTCGGAGGGAAAATTGGAAGGAGGGAGAGAATTCAAAGTATTGATGGTTATATTTTGGAATATGTGATTGTTTGGTAGTAGGGATAAGTGGAGGGAAGAAAATCAGTCAGGATTCAAAATCATCCCCCTAACCATAATTTTGATCCAATCGGAGTTGGGGGATGTAGATGGGGGGGAAGCATACCGAGCGCAGTAAGAGAAAACTGTTCTCCCCCCCATATTTTCTATCCTCCCCACCAAATATAGAATTAGGCAGGGTCCGTTCATTTTATCGATTTGAGTTTTGTTACAGTAAAAATTTTTCAGAAACAGTCACATTTAACTTTTTTACTACAGTAAAATTGCATATCAACTCGAATCAACAAACTAAATGGGTCCTATCTTTCATTCATTATGCCTCAACAAGAAAGATTTAACAGCAAGTAAATCTATGGGAGGAGGCACTTCTTTGGTTGGTTTCTCAGTTGGAATAGATGGCCACTAGATAAATTAAGTGCGCATGCTAAACATGGGCAATATTTTATGATTTAATTCTACCTTACTAATGCTTTGGTCTTGGTGGGATCTCCATTGCTTCTTGGTGAATGGCTGAAGTGAGACATTGTCAGCCCATATTTCTGCTGATGTGTTCTTGCACTAAAACATCAGGGAAAAAAAGCAGTAAGGGAAACTTAATAAAACCAAACTTAAAAAACTTAACAGACGAATTTCACCTCGAAGAAAATCTCAATGGGGCTCGAGAAATTTGCGACCATGCCGCCTTTTAGCAGACTCCAGCATCCACTCCTAGCTATGACTTTGCCACCATGTGTGAGATCACCCTTGGTGGGTCTAAAGACAACTGCTACAATCTCACTTCCTTCACTCACTTGAACCCAAGCTGAAACAATCACAAACTTGATCAATTAGAACCAATAAATAATGATGTTTGAATCACAAAAACAAAAAACAAAAAAAAAATCCTGAAAAACTATTCTAAAATCATGGAAATAGAGATACCAGAAAAGCTGTAGATTTTTCCTTGATCAACTTGAACTTTCTGAGAGAAACTGTCTAATGGGTGTGTTCTGTTGTGTGCCACAATGAACCTGTTTCCCTCCTTTGCCAATCTTCCTTCTATTTTCCCTTGTCCAAACACTTTCCACCCTTCAATGCCATGATCAAATTCCGGATTAACTATTATGCCTCCTCCATAGAAAGCAGCTTGGGGCTCTCTCAAGCACTGTTTGGTCAATATTTTGGCAAGAAGTATATTCAATGAGATCGATGTAGTATTTCCCATGAATAATCAGTTTTGTTATATAATATATTACACTGTCATGAAACATATTATATTTGTTTGGAGTATGGTTAATTAGAAGATTGTGCTTGCTTGCCTCAGTGGTTGCATAGTAGTTGTAGGAGTAAGCATGGATACAATGCCCTGCAACAGTTGATAAATTGGGGTTAAATTAATCACAATTTACATCATATTAAACATTAATTGTGTTGATTAGCAGATGACCCTAAAAGAGAATTTGCATATAAAAGAGAACTTTATTACAAGACAAAATACAATGCCCTAATGTTCCAGGCATTGGGGTTATGTTTTAAATTTCTTTTTTTCATTTTGCCATATTCAGAGAGAGAGAGAGAGCCATCAGAGTGGACAACAGGTTTTGCAAAGAAAGAACTTACAAAAGAAAAGTGGTTGAGAATTTTTAGAACAATGACAAAACAAACAAGGCACAAGGCAGAGGAGATGAGGGTGATAGATGTGTACATACAGAGAGAGAGAGAGAGAGAGACAGACAGACCTGGGCAGAGCAGAATGAATGAAATCAGTAAGGTGAAAGTTTTAAAGAAAGACTTCATCACTGCACTAAATTTCTGCTGCAGAAACTGAAAGAAACCATCAGAGTGGACAACAGGTTTTGCAAAGAAAGAACTTACAAAAGAAAAGTGGTTGAGAATTTTTAGAACAATGACAAAACAAACAAGGCACAAGGCAGAGGAGATGAGGGTGATAGATGTGTACATACAGAGAGAGAGAGAGAGAGAGACAGACCTGGGCAGAGCAGAATGAATGAAATCAGTAAGGTGAAAGTTTTAAAGAAAGACTTCATCACTGCACTAAATTTCTGCTGCAGAAACTGAAAGAAACCATCAGAGTGGACAACAGGTTTTGCAAAGAAAGAACTTACAAAAGAAAAGTGGTTGAGAATTTTTAGAACAATGACAAAACAAACAAGGCACAAGGCAGAGGAGATGAGGGTGATAGATGTGTACATACATATATACACACACACTTATGAAGGATCAGAACCATACAGAATTAGACTTTCTTCATGCAGTGCACACTACACATAACTTGCATGCACAAAATATATATAGATCACTGCCGTGATGTTCGCTGTCAGTTCCTCAAATTTTTCTCAGTATATATTATATAAATGAGTTTTCAATGGTTACGTTTGTGGTTAAAATATAAAAATATGATGACATAGTATGATAAAAATACATTAAATATAAAAATATGATGACTTGACGTGATAAGAATTTTGTTTTATTAATTGTCATAAATTTATTTGGTCAACTTTATAATTTATTATAACCGTCGGATTAATATCTTATAGTTAAAACAATGATACTGATTGATAAGTAAATATTGGAGTAATTATTCCAATCACACCTTTGAAAGGTTGATTCTTCTTCTTCTTTGTGTGTGTTTCTTTTTTTTTTCTTTTTTTTTTTTTTTTTTCCGGAAATGAGCACATGCAATTCTGTTTTCAAATTATACTACATATAATATACTTTTTTCGGGTAATTTCCTTTTCCGTATAAATATTTAATTTCATGCAAGTATGGAAACTTTTTTTTTTCTACATAACACCTATATTTCATTAAATTACAATTTGACCGAGTATTGAAAATTAAATTCAGTTCTATGCTATTACCCACTAATTAGTGCCTTGAACTTTCTTTTGATAATAGCATTAAATATAAAAATTTGATGAGCGTGATAAAAATACACTAAATATAAAAATTTGATGACTTGACATGATAAAAATTCAGTTTCATTAATTGTCATAAATTTATTTAATCAACTATATAATTTATTATAACCATCAGATTAATATCTTATAGTTAAAATAATAATATTGATTGATAAGTAAATATTAGAGAAATTATTCCAATAACACCTTTGAAAAGTTGATTCTTCTTCTTCTTCTTTGTGTGTGTTTCCTTTTTTTACCCCCGAAAATGAGCACAAGCAATTCTGTTTTCAAATTATACTACATATAATATATATTTTTTCCGGTAATTTCCTTTTCCGTATAAATATTTAATTTCATGCATGTATGGAAACTTTTTTTTTTCTACATAACACCTATATTTCATTAAATTACAATTTGACCGAGTATTGAAAATTAAATTCAGTTCTATGCTATTACCCACTAATTAGTGCCTTGAACTTTCTTTTGATAATAGCATTAAATATAAAAATTTGATGAGCGTGATAAAAATACACTAAATATAAAAATTTGATGACTTGACATGATAAAAATTCAGTTTCATTAATTGTCATAAATTTATTTAATCAACTATATAATTTATTATAACCATCAGATTAATATCTTATAGCTAAAATAATAATACTGATTGATAAGTAAATATTAGAGAAATTATTCCAATAACACCTTTGAAAAGTTGATTCTTCTTCTTCTTCTTTGTGTGTGTTTCCTTTTTTTACCCCCGAAAATGAGCACAAGCAATTCTGTTTTCAAATTATACTACATATAATATATATTTTTTCCGGTAATTTCCTTTTCCGTATAAATATTTAATTTCATGCATGTATGGAAACTTTTTTTTTTCTACATAACACGTATATTGCATTAAATTACAATTTGACCGAGTATTGAAAATTAAATTCAGTTCTATGCTATTACCCACTAATTAGTGCCTCGAACTTTCTTTTAATAATAACATTAAATATAAAAATATGATGACATAACGTGATAAAAATACACTAAATATAGAAATATGATGACCTGAAGTGATACAAATTTAATTTTATTAATTATCATAAATTTATTTAATCAATTATATAATTTATTATAACCATTCAATTGATAAGTAAATATTGTAGTAACTATTGATCACACCTTTGAAAAGTTGATTCTTCTTCTTCTTTGTGTGTTTCTTTTTTTTTTCTTTTTTTTTTTTCCAGAAATGAGCACACGCAATTCTGTTTTCAAATTATACTACATATAATATATTTTTTTTCCGGTAATTTCCTTTTCCGTATAAATATTTAATTTCATGCATGTATGGAAACTTTTTTTTTTCTACATAACACGTATATTGCATTAAATTACAATTTGACCGAGTGCTGAAAATTAAATTCAGTTATATGCTATTACCCACTGATTAGTGCCTTGAACTTTCTTCTGATAATAGCATTAAATATAAAAATATGTAGTCATAGTGTGATAAAAATACACTAAATATAGAAATATGATGATTTGACGTGATAAAAATTTAATTTTATTAATTTTTATAAATTTATTTTGTCAACACTATAATTTATTATAACCGTGGTAAATATTAGAGTAACTATTCCAATCACACCTTTAAAAAGTTTATTCTTCTTCTTCTTTGTGTGTTTCTTTTTTTTTTCCCCCAGAAATGAGCACACGCAAATCTGTTTTCAAATTATACCATATAATATACTTTTTTCCGGTAATTTCCTTTTCCGTATAAATAATTAATTTCATGCAAGTATGGAAACTTTTTTTTTTCTACATAACACGTATATTGCATTAAATTACAATAAGACCGGGTATTGAAAATTAAATTCAGTTCTATGCTATTACCCACTAATTAGTGCCTTGAACTTTCTTTAGATAATAGCATTAAATATACAAATATGATGATATAACGTGATAAAAATACACTAAATATAGAAATATGATTACTTGACGTGATAAGAATTCAATTTTATTAATTGTCATAAATTTATTTAGTTAACTATATAATTTTTTATAACCGTCGGATTAATATCTTATAACTAAAATAATAATTCTGATTGATAAATAAATATTGGAGTAACTATTCCAATCACACCTTTGAAAAGTTTATTCTTCTTCTTGTTTGTGTGTTTCTTTCTTTTTTTTCCCCGGAAATGAGCACACGCAATTCTGTTTTTAAATTATGCTACATATAATATTGACAAATGATTTATTTCCATAGATCACTTCATCTCTGGAAATAAAGTATAAATGATTTGTTTAATTTTTTTTAGAGTAATGATTTGTTTATTGTACACTTTACTTTTAAAAAATCAAGAATTAAACAAAAAAAATTTTCTCAAAAAAAACAAAAAAAAAAAGAAAAGAGGAATTTTTTTTTGAA